CCTCCTCCTCCTCCTCCTCCTCTTCCTCCTCCTCTTCCATTACTGAATTGCGTCCATCAAGGAGCACACAATTTTTTTTCTTTTGATATTTTTACTTTCCATTTCGTTCTTCTACTAGATTAGTTCGAAATTTTATGTTCTTAGCATTGAATTTTAGATAATAAATGAATTGCTAACAAGGAAGAATAATAAAATGAATAATGCATTTCTGCATGCTGCATGCAGAAATACTTCATACCTTACATTCTCCTTTCCTTTGTTATTTATGTTATTTATTCATTCGTTACCATTGCATTTAGTTTCTCTTAAACTTACCTCTTTTTATCAGTTTATTTTAGATTTATTATGAAGTTTTACCTCTAAGCATGATAGGAATTATTGCTTCTTATTTCGATGGTCTTCTAATTTTTTTTTTTTCAATTTTCTGCACTCTTCTTACTATTAACGGCAATAATATATTGAGATGTGAAGTGATATTTAGTATTTTTTAATTATCAATATTCATCGTGCTATGATAGATATCATTGCTTAATTTGAATGGTGCAGTTTATTTATAATATTTTCCACTAGCGTGCTAAAAAATCGAAATTTGTTAAGTTATTTCTTTGTAATTTACACGAGAATCATTACTGCTAAAAACAAGTGACAATTAAATGGTAGATAAGCGTATTAGTGAATTTTATCAGATCTATCAGAAGTATTCCTATTTGTGTTTATCAAAATGACATTTTTTCCTCTTATCTTTTCGTTAGTCGTATTTTATGTTTCATTAATGTTATTATTACAGAAAGAAGAGTGGAATGAAGAAAATTAATGGAGAAAAAATTATGAAATTGTGAAGGAAAAATTAGAGAATTGTGTGTAACATTTGGTATGAAATTGATATGCTAATCAAAATTTTCACTATTCCCTATCAGAGTTTTATATTGTTATTCAATTATTTTTTTTATTTCTGTCGGTAATTTTTTTTCCTTTCTTGAAATGCATTGAAAGTAAATGCAGGAAAAGTATAGTAAAATTTATTGCGATATATTATGAGAGAGTACGCTTATTGTAAATGTGATTTTTTATAATAATTTTTAATTCTTTATTTAAAAGTATAAGTTTTCTTTTTTAAAATCTGGCTTAACTACTACGTATTTAATTGGCAGTTAAGTTGATTTTCATTCGTATGCGTTTCTGGCAGAAATATCATTGATAATATTTTTCTGTAGTACTAGGATTGTTTTTTTCAGGCTAATGAATGAAAGTGTAAACAGTGGTTTGACGCAAGAAGAGGAGTGAGTCAGAGTAATTGGTGATAAAGTTATTAGTTGTAAATTGTGCATTGTATGCTGCTTGCAAATTTGTGATAATTCAAAGGTAATTAGATTTCTGCTATTCTAAATGAAAAATAGATTATTTGCCTCACTTCTTCTATTCATGGTACATCGTGTTGGTGTGCTAACTGATCGAACAAAATTAAATGTGAAATGGAGAATCATTCGGCAAGTAGTTCTATGTTAAGTTATATTTGGAAATGAAGGAATCTGTCTCAAAATCAATTATTTGAGGAATTCTCTTTTTTTTGGAAGATAATTTGATATAGCAAATTTTTAACCTTAATAGTAATTTTAATAATAATAAAATTTAGGAAGTAATAAATTGTACGTGTACAACGAATGTTGATAGTATGGCAGCAGAAGGACATAACATTGATGCAACGTTATTAGCAGTTGGCCGTGATCATGGCCATTACTTCGTTCGTAAAACATTTGGTAAACCAACATATTGTCATCATTGCTGTGACAAAATATGGGGAATGCTTACACAAGGATATGCATGCCAAGGTTTGTTACAAATTTTCAGAGTTTGAAAATTTTTTTTTTTAAACAGTAGAATATGCTTCTCACTCTTTAAGTGCAGAGTTTTGATATTTCAAAACTCTTTATATTCAACTTCATGCTGATTATATAAGATTTTATTAGGCATATTTTATATATTAATTACAGCGCATTTAAAAAGAAATATTTATTGAGTGAAGCTGCAATTAAGCAATCATTTAGTGTAACAAAGTATATCTGATTCAAGAATTATGAAAACTTTTTTATGATGTTTCATTAAACAAATAATTTATATGATGGCAATTTGTTTTATCGTATAAAGATCTAAAAAATAAGTATTTTAGTTTGCAATTTCATATGTCACGACAAATGCATGAAAACGGTTGTTTCGTTTTGTAGTGGTGTCGCTTTGCAGTTGATAAAGGTAACAATTAATATTGTCTAACAAAATTGTTCTCCCTGACAATCACATTCGTACATTTATATATTCGACTTACTAATGCTGCATAAATTGCACATTTGAATATAATATGCTGATTAGATGTAACAGTCAGCCAAACTTCTGATAACATTTGCTGTTTGAATTTACATACTCGAAATGCTTGCGACAAGTTAATATAGATGCTGTAACAACGGTGCAATTTTTTTGTCATTTTCTTCCAATTATTAGAGCATAATTTTGTTTCTTCTCTTGGCTAAAGTGTCCTTAATAGTCCTGATAACGTTCAATTAGATTCGAATCCTCATTTTGAGAAATCAGATGTCGTATTTTGTAATTTTTGAAGGCTTATTTCATTTTTCTAATATTTTGTTGACATTTGGATTCTTTGAAGAATCCTGTCGCTCATACATGGTCTGAACCATCGCATATCAAGCGAAGGTTTTGTTGCGTTTGTCGCAAAAAAACCGATGATTCAGTAGCTGTTGAATGTGAGGGTAAGTTTCATTTTAAAGTTAAATTTTATATTTTTTAAATTATATTACAGAGTATTAATAATTCCTAAATAATCGCTGAGAGTATATTAAGAATGTAAAGTTTCTCATTGATTGCTTTTTCGTTTCGTTAATGTGCAAAATTACAAACTTTTTTTTGAAATTTTATAACTGCAAAATATACAGCAACCATTTAACTAGGAACACTGGATTTCATTCCCAACTTTAGTGTAAGTGATAATATATGTTCATATCAAAAATTCAAAAAACGAAATATCTAATAAGCTATCCAAAAAAAAAAATAGTCTTTGCTGTATTTGCTATGGATTATAGATGTTTCTAAACCCGTATTAAATGGATATTTTCCATTCTTTCGTATTTAATCTGCGGAATTTCATTCATTCATTACTTGCTTAATTTATAGTTTGTGAATATTACGTGCACGTTGATTGCTACGATTTAGCAGTAAGTGACTGCAAGGAAGCTGCTACTTATGTACCTAATTTGGATAAGGTATGTTCTCCCTTTTTTTTCACTTTATTGTTCTTCTGGAAGATTATATTTCAAAAATTTATGATTGTGATTTTCAGATTCTGAATTCTTCCGAATTCTGTAATGCTTTGATTAGTTAAATAATTTTTTTCCACTTTTGCAATCGGAACAAAAATTTTCGCTAATATGATCAGGATCCCATGTTATCAATAGTTCTGAAAGCGAGTGATGTACTTTAATGATATCGTTGAGTAGTCAAACATAAACTTTATTAGATGCCGATTTTCCTAGTGGGAAACTTAGTAAAAAGTGTATATTCTGTATATAATAAAATACTTTGAGTCCAATACTTCAGGAAAATCTGAAATACGAGACGAACTGTTTGTTCTGCTGTTCGAGTTTAGATTAT